GAGTCCAGTCCCAGATGTCAACAAATAAGTGACAAATTTTTTCAATTTTGAAATACTGTGGTACTTGGATTTGCATTACTTCACAGTTAAACTATGCAGCTGGTAACTTTTTTGACTGATATGACTAATGTTGCAGTGCCTTGTGGTTAGCCTACTTGTTCTTCTGACCTTCCTTTCATCTCTTGAAGGGATTATCGGCTCGAACCCCTCTCAAAAGAAGCACTGAAAATAACAAGAGGAACTGAAAAAAGTACCTTGTTGAAGACGACAATAAATGGAAGCTTTGTGCGGAAAAGAATCGAACATGCATAAAGCATATTGGACATGAATGTTGTAGGATTGGCGGCACGCACAGAATCCACAACAAATGCAATCATTGTTGGGAAGGTAGAAGCCAGTGCATCAGTTATGATGTATCCAGAAGCGGACCACGTGAAAGCCTCAATCTGCCCCGGTGTATCCACAAGACAGAATGGACGTTGCTCCGAACGCAACTTGATGAAATCTACTACCTGAAATGTTTGCCAAAAAATGTAAATGTCTTTTATATACTCAAAACAGAGTAATTCTGAGAATATTGTAAGGCGCCCAAAATGATGTAATAATTTAAGGATAGCCGAAAAAACAAGTGAAAATGCCTGCAACAGCTACTATATGTTATGCAAACTTAATTATAGTTGTATTTAAAAGCAAAACTGTTTGAAGGGAAGCAAAATGTCAGCAAGTTGACGATCACACATATCTATGTAGAAAGTCCACATTAATCAGTGGCACCCGCGAGAAAGAAATAAATGACCACTGGGATAGCCTTCGAAGAATGCTTCGAACAGGCAATGGTCAACTACAGTGGGTAAGCAGCTAGCATAGCTGCGCCAAACGTATGGAAGCATTACAGAAGCCTGGATGACGGTCTCGGTACGCTTAGTACATACATAAATGATCGGCTGACATTCTCAGTATGTATATAAAGAATGACCATCAATCTGATCATGAGATGATGCAGCATTGGTCAAAGCAACTGAAAAATTTGTTAGCAACATAGGCGGTGAAAAAGGCTATAAATTATCAACTGCTGCTACATCGACTCCCAGTCTTGCAGTATCTGGAAGAGCTAATAATTTATAATTTCTTTATAAGGGG